TATATAATCAATGCTAACACTTTGACTAAGTGACTTGTTGCAGCAGCAGCACCACGCTCACCGGATGGCGGCCAGTTCTTGATGTAGCCTGTGCAGTGCACGACGGCATAATGCTGTCCGTCTCTCGACACACCGAGAGTGTTGCGATGGCGCATGCGACTCGCCTGCGCTGAGCTGTTCACCGGTATCTGCACGTTGCCAAACTTCATTCGGCAGATAAAGGCACGTCGCGATCCCATGCATATCCTGCTGGTCGCTAAAACAAAAATAAAAGTACAAAGTATAAAGTACAAGTATAACGTACAAAGTAACAAAGTAGAATATCACACCCACATTACACCTTTACTCGACTGTCACAGTTTAATCTCACCTGAGCATAGCAGCTTCCCATTACTTCATAAGCACGCCTACATTCTAAAAATATCCTGCTGGTCGCTAAAATATCGCACCCACATTACACCTTTACTCGACTTTCACAGTTTAATCGCACCTGAGCACAGCAGCCTCCCATTACTTCATAAGCACACGGCACGCCTGCATTCTAGTTCTACACATATCCTGCTCATCACTGAAACCCCATACCCACATTACACCTCTACTCGAGATTCGCGATACGCGAGATACGCGAGTAGTAATCGCAATAACAGCATTCGTGACTTCCCATTACTTCATACGCATGTTCTACTTCATAGCATCCTGCTGGATACGCCTAATACGCAGATGCATCTCCTAGGTTCCTAGCTAGCGTACAGTAGCAAAGAGCCCTATTTATTACCTTGATAAGGCAAAGGCCTATCAGGCCAAGATGTAAATACGACTGAATAAACTAAAAAGGCACAATGACCACATAGAGCTTTGCATTTGATATTAAAGCTTTGTCAGCAGGTTTGCTTACAGGGATGGTAGATTTTGAACTGGTACATACTGTACTGTGCACGCTGATCACTATGTAATGTTTTGCAGGGGCAGTGTTGATCATGCAAAACAATATACACTGCAACAGTTACTTACATTGGTGGCCTTCTTTCTTCACTGTGCCAGCTGCAGACAGAAAATATGCAACATTTGCAGCTGATTGTTTGAACATTCAAAACAACATTCAAAACTCAAAACCATTTTCACTTACAGCCAGAATACTCAAAAGCTATCCAACGCAAATAACACATGTTGTTTTAATTGGTTTTAAACATGTTTATGCATCGAAGATAGTCAATATCATTATTATCTCAACAAACACTTGAAATGCACAACAAACTATTCAACATCTAGATGCGAGCGAGGACAGACTAAATCAGTCAAGTCACCACAGTATTCCAACAGATGCATTACTTTCAAAGTTCAAGTGATTTTTTTAATTAGATATCTGTACGTGACTGTAAATTTCACAGGGACACAGAGGAAAACCTACTCTTCAAGTCGAGGATTCTTCCATTGCTGTTGCTCTCCGAGGTTGACAGCTGCTCTCTGGCCTTCTCAACGTCTTCTTGATGTACCTGGTCCAGCAGTGACGAGTTAAGCCAGTCATTCTGCAAAGACAAATAGTGAGTGAGAGAGAGAGTGAGAGAGAGGGAGAGAGAGAGAGAGAGAGA